AAAATAAAATAAAATAAATATGAAGTTTTATAGCCATATCTAAGAAGGCAAATTTACAAATAGCTATGAGCAGAAAATTAAGACAAATTTAAAAACATACCAGTCAAGAGTAAGAGTTACAGTGTGGCATGACTAAGATAAATTAACTTACAGGACATAGTATGAACAAAGTAAGAAATCTCTTGCTGAAGGCTGGCAAACACCTCTCTTCCAAAAGATACAAGTTAGACCAAGTGTTTCCAATCCAAGCTATACAAAAAAAGCTGGAAGACAGATGTGATTGGCCAAGAAAAATAAAAATGTGAACCTAGTCCTCAATCAACTAAAGAACTTTTCAGCATGAAACAGAAATAGATATTATGGCCCCAAAGGACTCAAGAGTCAGATTTTAACTTTCCCTCAAATTAAAAACAAAAACAAACAAGCAAAAAAAACCCACCAACTTTCTAACGATCAAAGCTTTCCAAAGATAGAATACAGTTCCTCAAGAGTGAGCTCCCAGATAACTGAAAGATCCCAATATGGTTTAGACAACCATTTTTCTAAGATACTGAGGAAAGAATTCAACTGTTAAGTAGCTTCCTCCTTCCAACTCTGACATTTTATGATTATCTACAAAATAAGTTTCTCTGCAAAACCACTACCTCAGTTACTAATTACATAAAAGAATGTATGGGAAAATAAAGACTATGTCTTCCAAGTTATCCTTTGGGAAATAATAAGGAATATTCACCAGTATTATAAGTTCTCATCCCACTATGGCTCTCAGGTATCACTGTTGCTGGGCATGCTGAGATTTTTCCAGGCCCCACTGCTCACTCTCATTCATAAGTCTATGGATTAACTAAGTCTTCCAATGACATTAAACAGCAACTGAAACTTGCTGTTGATGTGTGGAAATCAAAACTGCTTATTGAGCAACATTTTTAAGAAGCTATAGGAAAAAATGTAATGCTCCTAAAATATGCAGGAAAATAAGACAGTAATGAAAAAGTTACAAAAGAACATTGTTACCATCTTTGCTACACCTGTGTGTGTGTGTTTATACGTAGGCTCCATGCCCAACGTGGGGTATGAATGAACTCATGACTTCATGATCAAGAGCTGTATGCTCTACCAACAGAAGTCAACCAGCCACCCCAGCGAGTGTTTCTTAATCGGTATCTTAACATTAATCTCTCCAACAACTCCCTTTGTATGCGTTTTTCTACAGCTACAGTTGTTAATGGGATGCTATACTTATTTCCTAAAATGTTATGATGCCAGTTGGGAATGCCACTGATCCAATGCAGTTGTTTTTAACCTAGACCCGGGGTAATAATATTGACGCAAGCTTTTGAAAACAGGTCCAAGCCCTACCCTCCACAGACAGAATTGTAAAAGCCTCCCAGGTGTTTTTTAATGTACGGTGTTGGTGGGGCGCCTGGGTAGCTCAGTCGTTAAGCGTCTGCCTTCAGCTCAGGTCATGATCCCAGGGTCCTGGGATCGAGCACCCGCGCCAGGCTCCCTGCTCTGCGAGAAGCCTGCTTCTCCCTCTCCCACTCCCCCTGCTTGCGTTCCCTCTCTCGCTGTCTCTCTCTCTCTCCGTCAAATAAATTTAAAAAAAAGTACAGTGTTGGGAACCACTCACTGATCTAGTTTTATTCCCAATCTACAGACAAAGGAAACGAAGCCCAGAAAGACACTTATTCCAGATACTTAAGAGAAAATCTGGTTAGACTGATTTCTAGTCTAACACCCCTTCTGTTTTACCATGCTAGTGTTCTGCACATAGCAGATACCCAAAGCAGTCGTCTAGCTGCCTTTCCTCCACTTATCTCCCTTATCTTTATCCTCTGTTTAACTAGATTTCCAATCTGTTCTCAATAAAAACCCAAAAGGAGTCTATAAAATCTTGTCTCACTGTTTAACCTAAATATCTCTGTTGCCTACCCACACTGGCAGGAATTCTAGGCTTTCCTCTGCTCTATCTTTAAACTTACATCATCCAACCAACCAAAGGAAAAAAGCCAACTATGTGGGTCAAGAACAAAATGAACACCAAAAAGGACACAATTCACAATTATACCACTGCTGTAAGGCTGAGTTTTGGTAAGAGGAAGAAGTTTGGGGGTGGGGGGTGGGGTGGATATATGCCTTGGAGGGGAATTTGTATAAGGGGGAAATTTTTACTACTTCACTAGAATGTGTGCTCCACAAGGACAAGGAATTTTTTTCTGTTTTATCTACTATGTAATTTGCCTG